CAGTTTCCTAACGGAAAACATGTTTTTTTCTTCATGATTTGTCATTTGATCCAGGGCTTAAGCTGGATTTCGGTGCATATGCGGGAAATAATAGGACGTCTATTTACATTAACGTTAACCAGTTTTAGGTGGATAATACAGTAAGTGATCAACTCTTCTAAATACCACTGCACCTCCCAAAGGCTTTCCACCTGCAGCAGTAACAGAGGGAGGAGGAGGGGGGTGGGGGGGGCAGACATGGTGGTGCTTCCGGTGGCCCACACGGGCGGACCTCACTGGACTTTGGTGACCGCCTCGTGGATGGACTGGGCGATGTAGTCGATGTTCTTGGTGGTCAGGCCGCACATGTTGATGCGCCCGCTGGCCATCAGGTACACGTGCTTCTCTTTGATCATGAACTCCACCTGTTTGGCTGTAACACACACACACACACACACACACACAGCAGAGTGAGTAAAGGGAGGCCTCCACAGAGCTCAGCATCCACCTCAGGAATGTGATTCAATTAAATTCAGTTTCATTTATATAGCGCCACATCACAACAACAGTTGTCTCACAGCGCTTTCCAAACAGAACAGGTCAGACCCTACTCTGAAGTTAATTACAGAAACCCAACAATTCCCACCATGAGCAAGCACTAGGCGACACAGGCAAGGAAAAACTTCCTTTTAACAGGCAGGAACCTCGAGCAGAACCATGGCTTAGGGTGGGCGGCCATCTGCCTCGGCCGGTTGGGGGTGAAGGAAAGACAGGGCAAGAGAGAGTGGGGGATGATCCATCCCACAAATCTATTTTCAGCTTCTTTGATTCTTTCTCACAGAAAAGGTATATCTGTATATACTTGTATATAAGTTTATATATATATATATATATAGGTTGTATATTTGTATATAAATGTATATCTTCACATGAAGCCCTTTAAACTCCAATTACATGAAGATTCAGAGGAAGAGCAGTGGAGAAAAGCCCGATTTGAACTCCCAGCAAACCAACATGACAAAGAGTTAGGAGAATACGGTAAATTCCTTTTCTGTGAAACATCCACAGGTCC